GAGGGCTGGGGCCAGGGCTGCCTCAGAACTGGGCCCTCCCCGCTGTCTTGGGGGGGGCAGGAGAGGTGGGCTCAGGGCTGGGCCCTCCCCAGCTGAGATGGGGGTTGGCGAGTGCAGCTAGCTGGGGGTGCTGCCCCCTCATATCTTCATATATCAAAATGTGATGTATGCATGCAAAATGTAGCTCAGCCCCTTTAGAATGCTATAAAGTCAAGTAAGATTTGTTTCAAATCCTGCTAATTCTTCTAAATGTAAACCAGTTTTCTGTGGGCCATTGAAAGGCATCCCTTATTCCCTAGGAACAGGCTTCCTGTCCATTTTCAGTTTTCTTGCTGCTATTGGTTTGGCACTAGACTTGTTCAAATAAAGGACAAATTTTTATTTTTATTTTTTTATGGGAAAACTATGCAGTGAGTGTTTTCCTTACACACAAAGACCGAAAAATAAAAATGCTGAACTGATTTTTCTCAAGCTAAAACAAAATAAATAAATAGCTTCAGGCAAACATAAGGATTGAAAAAATTCAGCCCCAAGGAAGTGATTAAAACAATTTTACGAGCTGCTTTCTTGGTATATATGGTTGTGACTATTTTCTTCCACTATTTGATCTGAGGAAGTGGGTCTGGCCCACGAAAGCTCATCATCTAATAAACCATCTTGTTAGTCTTTAAAGTGCTACATTGTCCTTCATTTTGCTTCAGGTACCCCAGACTAACACGGCTACATTTCTATCGCTTATCATGGGTGTGCCTAAGTTTCCTGCAGACCCATAAAGCTTGTTTACAGCCACCAGCAGTGGCGAAGCGAGGGTGTTATGTGCCCAGGGGCAAAGGGAAAATTTGCCCGCCTCAGTCATTTGCTCCCTCCAATCCCGGAGCAGCTTGGCTATTATTATATGGTCCTTGCTGCAGCCCTGGGAAGTCGGGGACAGCAAAGAGCTGGCCAGCTGAGCCTTCCACACCCTGTCCCCTCCCCGCAGCAGCAGCTCACCTTCCATCTGCACGCTGCTGTGCGGCTCTACAGAGGAGGTGAATGGGCAGAGAAAAGTTAACAATATAACTTTTGGCAGCTAAATTGGTGTCCCCCGTAGCATGGCACCCCGGAGGCAACTGTCCCCCTCTGTCTTCTCTCCCCCCCTCACTATGCCACTGGCCACCAGTCCTGGCTCTCAGTGTTCTGTGCTGTTATTTAGCTCTAATTTACCCCTAAATGACTAAGAGCCCAGTAAGCAGTGGAAGTGCTGGTAATGCTGCTAGACAATATTGCCCTCTTGTCAGTTGGCAAATTCTCTGATTTGGCACCAGTCTAGGGTTGCCAGATGGTTTCAGCAAAAATACTGGACACACTTGATATTACATCACAATCTACATTATATCTTATTTAGAAAATACTGGACATTTATATTTTCTCATTTATATTTTTTCAATTTGTTTCCCAAACAGAAAGCTCAAATACTGGATTGTTCGGTTCAAAACCGGACACCTGGCAACCCTCCACCAGTCAAGTCCCAAGGGGTTCAACCTATACAAGACGTTAGGACAAAACTTCTAATCAGATTTGTATACTCTAAGGACTACTTCCAGTGAATCATTAGCTTGGGTTTTGATAAAACTCTTTTCCTCCCTTTCCATACTGAGACATCTGTCCAGATATTGCAGATATCAGTTAGGTTATCTGTTTGTTTTTCTATCCTCTAATCTGATGCCACAAATATCTCATGAGGTCTGTGGAAGGTAGTCCTCGAGCAGTGTTTTGTCTAGATTGATAGAATGCTGATCGTTCTTCATACATGTGTTCTCACTTTTCTTCTTACGTTTACTGTTATGTATTTTTGTAAAAGAGTATTTTGGTCACACTGGTATTCCATGTTTATGAATGCTGTCTATTGGAACATTCTTACTGCTGAGATCAGATTTCGGCTGTGAAGTTTTATTTTGACTTTTTTAAAACTGAAGATCTATGTATTGTTGCTTTAAATGCCACTCAACTAAAGTAATCCATTCATACTGAGCAAGTAACTGAAAATACATGGGTTTTCAATATCTTTTTTTAAAGTCTCTCTAGAACATTATGTGTATATTTAGTTATTTTTAAAACAGCTCTTAAGCCCCTGTGGAAAACTTTAACTGTGAGAGAAATATATTAAAATAAAAGATGTGGTATCCTATGGGCCCAATCCTTTGGGTACAATTCTTGTATGTAAGTAGCCCCATTACATGAACTGAAGCATCAGATCTTGCTTCAAGAAATTGAGAACTGAGGATTGTTCATCAGTATGAATACGATTTTCTTAGATTTGGCTGGGATTTAGGAATTTAGTTTGCTTCAGTGACTTTTTGAGACTTAGCAAGAATTTGATTTGACTCTCTTTGTGTGTGTCTTTGAGGTTATTTTTCTAGAAAGGAAATCTAGTAAGCAAAGTATAATTGTACCATATGAAACTTTGCATATACTGTGTTATAGTTACTGGAATATCTCTAAGACTTGTTTCCTTTTTTCTTTATTGCAGACCTATCCATGGCAGTGCAGAAATTTTCTCAGTCACTACAGGATTTCCAGTTTGAGTGTATTGGAGATGCTGAAACAGATGATGAAATTAATATTGGTAAGCATGTTCCAGCACACTAATATTCTCATTTTACAACATTTAAAAGATGTGATTATAAAATGAAGGTGTAAACAACCAATTCTGTCAGTTTATGCAGTTACGGTATGTCTGTACTACAGATTCTGCAGTATGGAGCAGGTTAGGAAATTTATTGTCTTTTCTTTGTTGTAGGGAATAGAAGTGTGTATAGTAGATTTCTTGTCTGGTGGAACAAAAGTCTTGCAAGGTGTCAGTCGGTGTGGATGTTTGTCTTGAGATGAGACGATCTAAGTTAGAAATGTCATTCTTGATGGTTTTCTGTTTCTTGTATAAAATACTTATCAGGTGGTTTCTTAATTTCTTGGATAGTGTGAGGCAGAGTCTTTCACTGTAGTCAGTGAAGTATGTTGATCTTAGTGGATTGTTCACTTTCAGTCCTTTGGGTACGATGTCCATTTTCTTGCACTTGGATAGAAAGATGATGTCTGTCTGTATCTGTGCGAGTTTCTTCATATGGTTGATGGATTTCCATTCCAAACGGCTAAATGTAGTGCCTTGCATGTAGAATAGTGATAGAAATGTAGCCGTGTTAGTCTGGGGTAGTTGAAGCAAAATGCAGGACAATGTAGCACTTTAAAGACTAACAAGATGGTTTATTAGATGATGAGCTTTCGTGGGCCAGACCCACTTCCTCAGATCAAATAGTGGAAGAAAGTAGTCACAACCATATATACCAAAGGATACAATTTAAAAAAATGAACAAATATGAAAAGGACAAATCACATTGCAGAACAGAAGGGGGATGCGGGGGGGTGGGAAGGGGGAGGAAGGAAGGTAAGTGTCTGTGAATTGCTGATATTAAAGGTAGGGAGAGTGGGATGTTTGTGAGTTAATGGTATTACAGGTGATAATTGGGGAAACTGTCTTGGTAATGGGTGAGAAAGTTCAAAGACTTGTTAAGTCCTTGTTGGTAAGTGTCGAATTTTAACATGAATGACAGTTCAGAGGATTCCCTTTCAAGTGCAGATGTAAAAGGTCTTTGTAGCAGAATGCAGGTGGCTAAGTCATTTAGAGAGTGTCCTTTCTGGTTAAAGTGGCAAGAAACTGTTTTCTCTTTGTGATCTTGTCTGATATCTGTTTTGTGGGCATTAATCCTTTGGCGAAGTGTCTGAGATGTTTGTCCAATGTACATAGCAGACGGACACTTTCGGCACATGATAGCGTAGATTATATTTCTGGATGCGCAGGAATATGTGTTCTTGATCTTATAACTCACTTGGTTAGGTCCAATAATGGTATCAGCAGAATGAATATGTGGACAAAGCTGGCAACGGGGTTTGTTGCAAGGGAAGGTACCAGGGTTGGTATTAGTGTGGTATGTCCTGTGGTGGTTGGTAAGAATCATCTTGAGGTTAGGTGGTTGTCTATAGGAGACTATGGGTCTGTCTCCCAGAGCCTCTTTGAGTATGGTATCCTGTTCCAATATAGGCTGTAGTTTATTGATAATGTGTTGGACAGGTTTAAGTTGGGGGTTGTAGGTGATGACAAGTGGTGTTCTATTGTTGGTTTTCTTGGGTCTGTCTTGAAGTAGATGGTTTCTAGGTATTCGTCTGGCTCTTTCAATTTGCTTTTTTGTTTCTCTGGGTGGGTAGTTGAGATTTATAAATGCTTGGTAGAGATCCTGAAGCTTCTGGTCTCTGTCAGTGGGGTTAGAGCAGATGCGGTTGTATCGAAGGGCTTGGCTATAGACGATGGATCGTGTGGTGTGTTCTGGATGGGAGCTGGATGCATGTAGGTAACTGTATGAGTCAGTGGGTTTTCTGTAGAGAGTGGTGTCTAATTTTCCATTGTTGATTTGTACGGTGGTGTCCAGGAAGTGGATCTCTCGTGTAGAATGGTCCAGGCTGAGGTTGATGGTGGGGTGTAGGTTGTTGAAATCTCTGTGGAATATCTCCAGTGTTTCTTGGCCATGTGTCCAGATCATAAAGATGTCATCGATGTACCGTAGGTAGAGGAGGGGTGAAAGGGGACGGGAGTTGAGGAAACGTTGTTCTAGGTCAGCCATAAAGATGTTAGCATACTGTGGGGCCATGCGTGTACCCATGGCTGTGCCGCTGATCTGGAGGTATAAGTTGTTCTCAAACCGGAAATAATTGTGGGTGAGAACAAAGTTACATAGGTCTGCTATCAGGTTGGCAGTAGTGTCCTCTGGGATAGTGTTTCTAATTGCTTGTAATCCGTCTTCATGTGGGATGTTGGTATATAGAGCTTCTACATCCATGGTGGCAAGGATGGTATTATTGGGGAGGTTATCGATGTTTTGTAGTTTCCTTAGGAAGTCAGTAGTGTCTCGGAGATAGCTGGGGGTATTGGTTACGAAGGGTTTGAGAAGAGTGTCTACATAGCTGGATAGACCCGTAGTGAGCGTGCCAATACCAGAGATGATGGGACGTCCGGGGTGCCCAGGTTTATGGATCTTGGGAAGTAGATAGAACAATCCTGGTCGGGGGTCAGAAGGTGATTCTGTGAGGATTTGTTCCCGAGTAGCTGTGGGGAGGCTTTTAAGGAGACAGTGTAGTTTCTTTTGGTAGTCCAAGGTGGGATCAGAGGGGAGAGGTTTGTAAAATGTGGTGTTCGAGAGTTGTCTGGTTGCCTCCTGGTTATAGTCGGCCTTATTCATAATGACCACAGCACCCCCTTTGTCAGCTGGTTTGATTACAATGTCCAGGTTGTTTTTGAGACTCTGGATGGCATGGTGTTCAGCGCGGCTAAGATTGTGTGTCGCTTGTTGTCGTTTGCGAATAATGTCAGTCTGTGCGTTGTTGCGGAAGCTGTGTATATAGAAATTCAGATTGTAATTCCGACCGTCAGGGGGAGTCCATATAGAATTATTTTTCCTTTGGTGTTGGTAGGGGGGATCTGGTAGGTCAGATTGATGTTCAGTGGTGGTTTGGAAATATTCTCGGAGGTGGAGGCGGCGAAAAAAGCGATAACCTCCCCAATAATACCATCCTTGCCACCATGGATGTAGAAGCTCTATATACCAACATCCCACATGAAGACGGATTACAAGCAATTAGAAACACTATCCCAGAGGACACTACTGCCAACCTGATAGCAGACCTATGTAACTTTGTTCTCACCCACAATTATTTCCGGTTTGAGAACAACTTATACCTCCAGATCAGCGGCACAGCCATGGGTACACGCATGGCCCCACAGTATGCTAACATCTTTATGGCTGACCTAGAACAACGTTTCCTCAACTCCCGTCCCCTTTCACCCCTTCTCTAGTTATGCTACATCGATGACATCTTTATGATCTGGACGCATGGCCAAGAAACACTGGAGATATTCCACAGAGATTTCAACAACCTCCACCCCACCTTCAACCTCAGCCTGGACCATTCTACATGAGAGGTCCACTTCCTGGATACCACAGTACAAATCAACAATGGAAACTTGTTCTGTAGACACCACTCTCTACAGAAAACCCACTGACTCACACAGTTACCTGCATGCTTCCAGCTCCCATCCAGAACACACCATACGATCCATCGTCTATAGCCAAGCCCTTTGATACAACCGCATCTGCTCTAATCTCACTGACAGAGACCAGAAGCTTCAGGATCTCTACCAAGCATTTATAAATCTCTAATATCTACAACTCACAGACCCTTAACTTTCTCCCACCCCTCCCCCCCCGGATCCCCCTTCTGTTCTGAAATGTGATTTGTCCTTTTCATATGTGTTCATTTTTTTAAATTGTATCCTTTGGTATATATGGTTGTGACTATTTTCTTCCACTATTTGATCTGAGGAAGTGGGTCTGGCCGACGAAAGCTCATCATCTAATAAACCATCTTGTTAGTCTTTAAAGTGCTACATAGTCCTGCATTTTGCTTCAGCTACACCAGACTAACACGGCTACATTTCTATTACTTTCTAATAGGGTTTAGGATGGGCACACTTTAAAGTTTAAATAACCATCAGTCATTTTGTACATGTGGAGTGTAGGCAGTCTCCCCTCAAAATCAGAAACCATGGCTTAGTTTTTTCTTCCTCAGTGCAATTCCTTCTTCACAACAAAATAAACTACACGAGTACTAAAATGTGCTTCATGCAAGTGGTAGCCCTGCTTAGGAATGAAAGCTCATATTCTAATGAAGTTGTCTAAAAAGAACCCTGTTGAAATAATGGTGATTCAGGTAGCTGCACAATAGCATAAATAATAATTTGCTCACTTGGGTGCAGGTTTTGTTAATAAAAATTGACCTGCTTTGTGTGTCAGTAAAAGTACATATAGAGAAGAACCCCCTGGCCTCTGCTTGGACTTTCAAAATGCCTTTGACAGAGTCCCTCGCAATAGGCTATTAAGTACTCATAGTGCTGACAAAAAGCTGTCATACACTGGAAATTGGCTAAGAGACAGAAAACAAAAAATGGGGACAGTGATCAATTTATAGCATGGGAAAAGGTCAGGAGTAGGTGCCCTGATGTTCTGTTCTAAGACATAGTTATGATTTGGTGATGGACTGCAAAATTGGGTAGAAAACTTGCAGATGACATGAAATAATAAGGAAATACTTCTTTTTGCATAGCACCTAATTAATTAGAGGAGCTCGTTGCTGCACGATATTTGTTGAGGATAGAGGCTTAATAGAATTTGGAAAAGTATTAGACATTTATACAGCCAGTTATATTATAACATTCAGTGTAAAGTATATATAAAACAAAATCCTGATTCAGACATAAGACATCCACTAGGGCTTAGAGAGAAACTTTCCTTATGGGAAGTTATTTATAATGGTCCTTGAAGTTTCTTTCATATTCTTCTCAGGATCTACTACCAGCAACTCTGAGAGGAAGAAAATTAATCTTAGATTTACATCTGGTCTGGCAATCTGTACTTTCCTCTATCGTTCAGTAAGAAAGTGTACTGTTTGTTTGTCAGAATGAGTGTAACTTCACATGGACTTACTTTCCTGCACAGATCATGCCCAGCTGCTCGTTGATTT